AAACAACATTGAATTGATTTTGGTGGTGGATTTGATGGTAAGGTTGCTTGCAGCAGACACATCTAAACACCTTAAGCCATTTTGTTGATGACTGCCAACTGCAGCGATTGCAATTGATTTGCCCATTTATCCATGGCAGTGTAACGTACAGAGCATCGAGATTCTTTGTCCAATTCCAAAACTTGATGGACTTGATCGATGCGACCGCGAATTGTGCTATAAATGAGAAGAAAAAAACAATTGTTATTGGAAGGATTATTTGAAAATAAAAATGGTATGCATGACTCACCTGTCTAAGATACAAGAAACCAATAAACTTTCAACCTCGGCTGATTCAATGTTCAATTCGGTGGAGATGAAGGGTATAGCTATGCGCGTGTATGGACGAATCAACTTGATCAGAACTTGTGTGCGAATATTGCGAAGCAAATCTGAAAGGAAATTTTAAAAATATCATCAGTCAACGTTGTTTGTCATCAATTATACGTATGGTTGTTGTTGTGGTTGATCAACAATGGTGTTAGGAAAATTGTTGAATTCGAAAATTTGTTTCATACCTTCAATGTGCTCCTTGATGAACGGATCGGCCATGATGTTGTTGTGATTCTTTCGCAAAATCGATTCAAATTCGTTGATATCGTTGTTTTGATACGAAACCACCAAATTGGTCATGGCCAAGATTTCTGGGTCATTTTTGTAAGGCTTTGCTTCTTGTGAGTCGAATGGATTGATATCCGATTTCATCAACCTATGGTAAAATGCATGTTATTCCAATTGGTATAGGGTTCGATGATGAAAACCATTCAATTGTACAAAAACATTACCCATTCAAATTACTTACATGTTGGCGAGAACCAAATACTTGAGGCAAGTTGTACGACGCGCTGAACCACTTTCATCGTAATTTTTGAACGCTTCAAAGAAATCTGTGTGTGCCTTCTCGAATTCACCTTCACGCAAATGCATTTTGCCACCACATTCTACAAAAAATGTAATTGATTTTTTTTTTATTCTGGTAAATTGACATTATTGACTAGTAAATCATTGCTTTTATCATCGAGATCAAGTCTAGCTTGATAATATGGAAAAATATCGATGACAAACGTTTAATCTGAACCTAAAATACTCACCTCGAATCACGCCCATAATCAATGGATGCGGAATGGCAGATTTGATATGCAGTGACTGTTCGTACAATGCCTTGAGCTTCTTGTTGTTCTTCTGAACCGTATACATTTGAATTTCCAACGCATAGATTTCCAGCAACTGAGTACCCTTCTTCAAGTCATCTTCACCGTCATCGGTCTGAAAAAATGTGTATAGAGCATTAGTCGTGTGCCAAATGTATAAATGTGGATAATATGGAAAATAAAATAAAGACTCAATCTGTTTACTAACAGTGTTTACCACACGTACCTGGCACGATTGGTGCAATTGTTTGAGAATCTTTTGCAATTTGCCAAAATCATTACGATCGAAGTACAGTTTTCCCAGTTTCGTGTTAGTTTTGAACCACAGCCGATCATTTTTGGCATCTTTCAATGCCTCAAGCGTTGTTTCGTAGAAATTTTGTAACAATTCCATCTGTGTCAAAACAACAACAAAAATCAAAACCAATCAAAAAACGTTCAAACAAAGACTCTATCAAACTATGGCTTACATTTTTCGATGTCGAAATATAATCTAAAATCGAATTGATGGACTTTTCCGAATGGTTTCGTGTGACGGCGCTCTTGATGTACGTGAGCAATTGCTTGTAACGCACCATCATTTCATTGTAGTTCGACAGTTTGAAATTGATTTTTATCATTTGCTTGAGAGCTTTGAATCCCCATTCACCTTTTTCGCCGTTCTCGAGGTCGAGCACCTTTTGAAAAGATTGGAGTGCAGCTTTCGGTTCATCCTCCTTCAACGCTTTGCTGTTGTAGTATTGATTCTCTAGGTCAACGTCCGGTTCCGAGTTACTATCCTCTGAATATTCCTATAGATCAAAGAACTTCATTAATTATGCATCCAGTACGTCGCACCACGATGACAACAATCAATCAATATCAATCGCCGAACAGTACATTGACATTGAAACTTTTTTTCACACTTACCAAACCGTAATCTTCTTCGTCGTCACACATGAAATCATCATTTTCTTCAAAGTCAGACATTTTTCTCTCTTTATCTATCTGCTGACAAAAAGTAAGAAATCTACGACAAACTATTGAATTCTATCTAGGAAATCAACACAGATTTACTAAGCACAACTGTTCGACGATGACGATAAAATGTGAAATACGTCTTTTTGCTCCAGCTGACAGTTCAAGAATATATATTGTTTGGTTACACACAAATCGGCGGTGTTTCCACGAACTGTCAAAATCTGAGTGTGTTGTTTTCCTTTCAATACTACTACGTGCGTTACGGTAACGTTGGCAATACTACGCGTACTACGAAACACCGTGACATGTGTTTGTTTGACAAATGAGTTTTGTTATTGCGAACATTCGTATTGTGTACGGCGACAAGGATTTTATGCGTTATTTTGATGAAAATAAATTTTTTTTCCACAAATTTAGGCGACTTTTAAAATTTGATAGAAAAACTGGGCGAGAATGGAGACGGAAAAACCAAAGCCGAGGCCAAAAACACCACCAACAAAGCGAAAATCAAGGGCCGCCAAACTGAGGTGCGTATTTCAATGCAAGCATGCTTTTTTTCAATGTTTAATTTGTTCTTGAATATTTTCATAGCAAGGAACAGCTTTTGATAGCGCTTCAAAAGAAGAAAGAGTGTAATGCTCGTGCCCAGAAAATTGTCGAAACTCTACTTGATCCAGTGCCACCCGAGAAGGTTGAATACTTCCTGTCTCGTGTAAGTAAATTCACAATTAGTGGAATAATTCTGACAAATCGATGGCATTTACTCAAAGCAAATTGACCAAATTGATCGTTTTTTTTCTCTCCAGTTGATCCACTTAAACCAAGCACATTACGATGACATCGTTGAGGAGCGATCAATAGTCAAACTATGCGGCTATCCAGTGTGCGATACAACCTTGGCCAACATTCCGAAGCAGCAGTACAGCATCGCTAGTTCACGGAATAAAGTCTACGACATAACCGAGCGTAAAAAGTTCTGCAGTAATAAATGCTACAAATCATCCGTGTATCTAAAGGAGCAAATCCTAACGACACCATTGTGGGTGCGCAGAGATGATGATATTATACCTGAATTTAAGCTGCTGACATTTGATGATAATGAAAAGGAAGCCGAAAAACAGCCGGAAAAAGTTGTAGAAAATAAGCAAGAGAAAATTGTCGAGAAACCAAAAGAAAAATTAGTAGAGAATCAGAGTAGAGATAACGATGTAGATAAACAAGTCGAAGAAAATGACGAAAAAATAGGAAAAGAAAAAGAAAAGGATAAAGCCGTTGATGAGGGCACAGAAACTAATTTAAGTGAAAGTAGCATTACTTCGAAATAGGTTGATTCAGTTAGTTTCATTTATTTTTTGATCATTTTTCAATAAAGTACAATTTTTTTTTAATGAAAGAATGAAATCACAATTGAATGTCGACTAAATGAATTGAAAATGTGATTTAATAAAATGAAATTGCGTTGATGTAAAATGAATTTACATGTTATTTGTTGTTTGCTTAGACTAATTTAGATTTTAGCACTACATAAAATGTATGGGTATTATTTTTTTCGTATATTTTTGCTGAATTTAAAAAAAAAACTGATGCTATGGCCACTGTCAATCACATTGAGAAAATAATCAATGTTTAATCGCGTGAGAAGTCTTAATCGATTTCAACATCTTGGCTTCAATATGAGAATTGTAGAGAAAAAAGTCGGAAATTCAAAATAAGATGATAAATATCCTAATTCGATGAATTTCCGATTTTTTGGTACGAAAATTTTTATAAAAAATTTCACGTGTTGTCATTTTGAACTGAGGATATTCGTTTTAAATATCGTTACTAAATCCTATTTCCGGGCAAGTTTGCTAAACCGCGACTGTCCGGTGACTTCTGGCGTCGAAAAATCGATGAGTGGCCCACGTTTTGGTAATGGAAGCATTTCTGCGGCCATTTCACTAAGTAGCCGTTTGCGTTTGCATGAAAATAATGGCGTTTCTAATAGCTGGCTATTATGATGAATACTCCTTTTGGCAACCGGTGTTTCGTCGAGGATTTGTTTGCCCTTTTCCAGAAGATAATCCACACGTTCTAGCGTGTTGTTGAATTGGTCTTCATCGTCTTCGTCATTGTTCTTGTTTTTGGCATTGTTTGGTTCGATGTCGATGTCAATCAACTTTGGTATTACTTTGCTGGTGGATGTGACACATTGATTTGGCGTTGTTACACATTGAAGTGTTAAAATTTGAGATCCGGCACTTTGCGATGCAACACTTTTAGATCCATTACTTTTGGAACCGACATTTTCAGAAGTGCTCGTTTTGGATGCGATACTTTCGTTGATTGGCATTAAATTTTCATCGGGGAAAAACGTGTAATTTGCACGTTTGAACGCAAATGTGCCACGTCTCTGGCGTTCCACCTTATTGTTTTTGGTATTCTGTTGGGTAAGTGGTGAAATTCTGGCCCGTTGTCCACTTAAATTGCTTTCTTTAGATGTATCACAACTTTTGGTCGATAATTCTTTGACTGTTTCGATTGTGGACGCAGTATCATTGAACGATGACCTTGCACTTGACGATGAATCGACGCTTTTGCTTGCCGAATCGATTTGCGAAGACGTTTCTTCGATTATGGTCGATGGATGAGTGACACCGATGTGCACAGCAGGTGATATTTCAATCGTATCATCATCAATTTCTGAATTATTCAAATTGGTCACAACAAGAGTTTGGTTAATGGTTTGATTCCATAGCTCAGATGGTGGTTCAACATCAAACAGAAGGGTGTCGTTGGCATTGATTAATTGATCCCGTTTATCATCCATGTTACACTGACGCTCTAAAGCCAAAAAACTGTCTTCGCCATCCGACAGCTCATTCCATGATTTATTGACTTTGCTAAACACCATCATGCTATTTTCTAATTCTATGGCGGCAGCCCTCTTAACCGGCATCGATCCTAGGCTTTCACTTTTTTTCTCGGTGTGGCTTGCTTCGACCGTTGAATCTAACCTTAATACGGTGCTATTGTAAAGCCTTAATCTTGACGCTTCCAATTGTTCTTCACGTTTTTTCTGGAGAATTCGCGAAAAATTCGCATCCAGCTCCGTTTTTGGTGTGGCTGGAGATTCCTGGAATAATTAAAATAACAAACATTAACACATTCTTTTTCTGACAGTCACAGATCACACTGAAACTAGCACATTTGATTAATTTTTCAAAAAACACTTACATTTTGTCGCGAAACATTCGACGAAAGGAACTGTTTTATGGCCTCTTGCGTTTCTTTGCTAATAGTTTTTCGACTTTTGTTCATTTTTTTCCAAATTACGTGCCAGTGTCTATCTCGTGTGAATGATGCGAACAATTTTGTTTATGTTGAAAACATCGTTAGAAACAAATGTCAAAATTCAAAATGATACCATTTGACAGTGCTATAAAAATGGCTGCGCACTTGAACGCATCCCATATTGATGTTTGAATTCCGTATTACACCTATCCAGTTGCCGTTAGATTCTTTATTAAAGGGCAATTGGTCAAGAATTGAAAGAAAATCGAAATTTAAATGAAGAAAATGTGTGCAAAATCATACGGATTTTATTTTTTATTTGCTTTTGAACATTTTTCAATGGAATTACATGTTTATTATTGCGCACAATAGATGTCGCCAATTTCTTATTTTCTTTGAATTTATTTTTTAACTGTCCGTATCTTTTAATTTGAGGATCAAAGCGACTTGTGATCAATTTGAAATGGAATCAATGCTTGAGAAGCAAGTCAACGAAATTAGTCATTTAAATCTATTGCAAATTTTTTTTTGTCACATCAAAATGAAATTACTCGAAATCATACGCACCAGCGATTTGATTCCGTATTTTTTTTTGACAGAATTGCTCTAATGCAATCCGTCAAACTTACTTGTTCAATCAACGCGTTTATTGATTAGACATTAGTGAATCCGAACCGCTGATTCCTTGATCAATTTCGTTGCACAAAATGTAACCAAGGATTTGAACAACAATCAGACAAGATCGATCATGAAATATTATGTAATGTAAAATTGTTGATACATTGATTAAAGTATTTTCTTATTGTGTAAATCAATCGCTTCTAGGCGTATTCAAACCGGCTTCAGATTTTATGTTGCGTCGCGTTAAATTTCAAGTTGTTGTTCGCGTTGCAAATGCAAGCGAGTCATCAAATGTGTTCGTAGCATGGTCACGTTCTCGATTTCCGTAGCACAAAGTTGACATGTGACTGGTCTTGGCATCGAAACCGTCCTATGTGGGAGAGGAAAGAGACAAATTCATTTGTATTTTTTTTTTCAATTTTCAACATTCACCAACGAAATGGAATGATCAATGTATGAAACAAATAGAACACGACATGTAAAACAATGTCTACGGATGTCTACTTACATCTTATGCAATTCTTCGCAATACTTTTTCAATTTTTTCTTCGTACGGTCATCGATGGGATTCAAACGTAGCAAACCATGCATTGGGAAAATCGCTTTCGCACCATACACATTATCTGGTTTCGTAAACTCGTCCGCATTGTATTCTTTCCATTCATGTTGCACGGGATTTATTTCAATCGCCTTACGATTTTTCGTGAGCAACCTAATTGAACAGAAAAATGCACATTAATGTTGAGTTTGGTCATTGTGATGCAAGGATCTGTTAAGCTAAACTCACTTGATTGTAAGCTCTTTCAATTTTTTCATGACTTCGAGCCGGTTTTGCGGTGCAAGAGTTTCGTTTCGACCGGTGGTGTTGAACGAGAACAGTAGCATATCAATGCTATAACGTATCTGGTTAATCTGTTGAAATGGAATCATTCAAAGAATTAGACATGTTCTTGGCATTGTCAAGTATTCAATCTCAGAGAAATTTATTTGGTAAAATTCATTTTATTCAGAAAAACTAGGAAGAAAGAGCAGTAGCTTACCTGTGCCAGATCGCTTTCGTCGAGTTCAAAATCCAATGGAATCACGGTGTCATGCTCGGCAAAGTACGGACATCCTTTTTCATCGTTGAAACCAAGCCCAGTTCGTGCCGAGATGTAACGCGACTTCCATTTGTCACGCTTTAAATCCAACGACGGACAGAAGATGATCGCCATCAAAGCACCAAAACCGCGAATGCTGGGCAATTGAGTGGTTTCATGGATTGTGAATCCTTTATTACCCAAAAATCCTTGCTGGCTGATATGCGCCGCAACGATGTACTTGATCGACAAATCCTATCAAACAAATGATACGAATATGAAACAATTCCAGTGCCATTAGGTTTGGTTTTGAATCTTACCTGTTGCAACGTTGTGAGGAAAACGCTATTCACGGAATGGGCATCAATTGAAATCGATTTTTGATCACTGTCCATCAATACCGAATGCACTTGTGTTTCCAACGGACTGATTGGACCCTTTAATTGAACTACTTTGCCGTAGTTGCGATCTTCGACTACCTTTATCGGTTCGGCAGTTACCATTGGGTAATATTCATCGCAATCTTCCAAATCCAAGTTCGTTTCATCGATGGGATTTGTGGCGAGATCGTCTTGCAAACATTGACGCTTCCAGTGATTGTCCTAATGAATGAAATTTGATTTAAAAAAAAAAATCCCAGACAATTTGATGGAATCACTTACTTTTGACAGGAAATTCTCTTCGCAGAATTCGCCCAAACCTTCTTTGATCAAATATTCGTTGAAGTTGGAATTGTTCTTCCAAATGAAAACATTCACCACTCCATTTACAACTGAGTAAATCTGGATATGGGGCAAATTGATAATTTTTCATCATTTTTTATGTAATTTTTGATGAATTTTCTCTTTATTCCTTAAAAAACTACCAAATTACCTCAGCCTTAACTTCGCATTCCAACAAGAGTTGCTTGAACTGTTGAATTGCGCGATGATCCCACATATATCCACCGCTGAGATTAATCGTTGACGGTTGAATTTCGGCCAATCGACACTGGAAACACCGTGGTGGCATCGTTGCCATTTCAGTGGCCCGTGTGAACACATACAAGTCCTTTGTGTCACACTTTTGTGTGTGACCATAATCAATGAAGCACACCGTGGCCTGTTTGAACTCATTTGTGAATGCATCGTAGTCCCATGTGATGAATCGAGCCCGATGAAGCATGTTATCGTCATAATCACGAGCGACAATGATCTGATCGTGTGTGATGCCGAAGAAGTCACTACAGGCTTCGATGTTTTGGTTGGAGCGTTCATTCAATTCACGATTGAAATGTTCGATACGTTGCAATTCGCTATTTGGCCGAAACCAGAATTTCGAACAACTTTCGATCTGTATGCAAAATGTGGACAGAAATTTTCAATTAGATTGATTTGGTAAAAAAAAAAATTGGTTTATACTCACATGAGTGATGGCACCAGTTACTCGTTTCTTCGATGCATTTGGAATACAAATGGTGCCAATTTCATCACGCAAATGTTTCTTCAACGTAAACGTTGAACCTGTCATAATACCAAGCCCAAGGTTTTCCGCTAATTCTCTTTCCTTTTCTGGCCTGAAAATCGTTGTTAAAATTAAAAAAATTCGTATATTTTTCGCTTTTTCTCATTTCTATCTCACTTCATGACCGCAATCCGTGTGGGCATGTTCATTTTGCGCATCTTCACCGCTTTGTAGACGTCGGTGAGTGTTTTTCCTGGGATCGAACAGTGCTTTGTGTCCCAATCCTGTCGAGTGTCAGCATTGATGCTCTGACTATGATCGAATGTGACAAACACCTTTTCCGAATTGTCAAACGAAATTTTAACATCATTGATGTCTTCCTTCTTCACGATTGGACCAACGAACAGGTTTCGAATTGTATCCGCGTACAGCTCACGTATGTTTTCTTGCCGAAAGTTGGTGAAGTAGACGGTGTTGTCTGAAAAATTGACCAGCAATGGAGTTACAAATTCGGATTTCATCAGCTTTATTATAACAATTTTATTTAGTTTTATTTTTGGTGGTAGACATACGTGGATCGCGGCCATTTAAAGAACGATAAACGTCTCGTTCGATCATCGGATTGCTGATTGGGGCTGTGGCAAAGAAATTCGGATAGAAGGCACCAGCGATGACCATTTTCAAAATGATACATTTTTCTTGTTCAGTCCAACGAAGTCTGTCGTTGCCGGCCAATTCGTAAATGCCAAGCCGCTCAAGCCGTTGGGTTAGCTCTTGAACCAAATGATGGCATTCGTGCAATGAACGCACATCCAAATAATGTCGAAGGCAGAACTCTTTTTCAGCCTTTTGTTGTTCTTTTGTTTTACCAAACACTTTCTGGTTGTATTTTAATGTCCATGTTTTGTATGCATTTAAAATGGCAAAGAGATCACTGCCCGACCCATTTGACCATTCCAATCGACGTGTGTACTCGCTGAGATCATGGTCAAAGCCGATTTTGAAAATACTTTTGGTCGTTAGGCCAGCAGCTGAAAAATGATTGGTGTGATTAAAATCGGAGTGAATTTTCGCAAGGAATTCAAAAACTTGGATACAAAAAAAAACCATTGCTTACCCATTATGATGCATTCTTCGAGCACACCAAAACACGAACCAATTGCAATAAGACGAGTGGCTCGCACGTCTACGGGCAAATTCGACATAACGCGACCCAAGAATGTCAGGTCACCATCGATTGGTGAATAGCCTTCATCTTGGTGCGTCAACTGAAGTGCACCCAACTCTTTCAAAGAGAGCACAGTGTTGGCCACGTCATCCATCTTTGGAATGCTATCGTCCATCGCCAGACCAAGGATAACATGTGGGGCACCCATATCGAACGTTTTTGCCTTTAGGATCACATTTTCGAGTGGGGTCAGCAAAAGCTCTGGCACCGCTGACTCCGTCATGGAATTCTAGAAAGTACAAATGAAAAAATCAAAATCCGATCGAAATATTCCCAACTTACGTTTCAAGGGTGGTTTTAAAAATTGTTTGATATCAAATCACGTCATCATTGGCAAAAAATGCTTCACTGTTCGAAATGATTGACAAAATGAGAATTTACATGGAAAAATCGGTGATGAACCAATCGATAGCAGCGTCCATTTGCCACGCGGCCAGCTCTACCGGCGCGTTGTCGACAGTTGTTTTTTGAAGCCCAAGCCATTTCCAATGATGTGAAATTTTTCGTTGTGTCACTTTTCAGATATTTCAAAAGGCAGAAATCGATCACTGTGAAAACAGATTCAAGTAAAACCATCTCGTCATTCCACCGCAAACAATTTTACAAATTCATTTGTTGGAATTAAGCTTCTTGAACTACTGTTCCATACATACCGATCTGAACATCAGGCACAGTGATTGAACTTTCCGCAATATTTGTTGACAATATGATTTTTCTTACGCCATCTTCCACTGGTTGAAAAATCGACTGCTGTTCTTCGGTGCTAATCATGGAATGCAGAATGAAAATTTTCCATGCCACATCCGCTTTCCTGCCAACGCAAATGAATCAATTAAGGCACCGAGAATGATTTAAATTACATGTGGAATTCACTTACGATTGTGTGTATTCATAGAGAATGTTGCGCATACGTCCGATTTCGTAAATTCCCGGCAAAAAGACCAAAATCGATGACAGATTGTCATCTGTTTCTTTGCAAATGGTTTTCATTCTTTTGATCAGATAGAATGCCACCTTGTACATTTCGTCACTTATGCCTGGTTGCCAACTGATTTCAGGCGAACGGTCCAGATCATCCAGAAAGAATGTTCTGACTTTGAACTGATTTTTCTGATCTACTCGCACAATCGGAGCCGGTTGCCAATGACCATCACGATAGAATTCGAAATAATGTGCAAACTGGCAATGAATGAAGGAATTTGTCAATGGAATTGCATTTGATTTAATCGAAATGTCTCTCTTACCATGTTGCTGTCAATCGTTGCGCTCATCAGAATGATTTTCACATTCGGCGCATCTTTGGCCAACAGCATGCGAATGATGATGAATAGAAAGTCCATGTCTTTGTCTCGCTCGTGGACCTCATCCTGCCAATGTAAATGAATCAATTACAGCGACGAGAATAATTTGAATTATGTGCGAAAATCACTTACCAGCACGATGTGAGTGAAATGTGTAAGCGTCTTTGATGCAATCAACCTTTCCAGAAGAACGCCCGTCGTGCAAAACAACAATCGAGTGTCTTCCGACATATGTTTCTTATCTAAACCAATCTAAATGACGGAAACAAGTTTTTTATTGTGAAATCAGAAGATGAAACTAAATTGGAATGATTTGGTTTGGTTTGTGAATTTTTTCCAAACGAAAATCATTGTGCTATTGGCTTTGTTGCTCTTGCTCTGAAATAACATGTAAATATGAACTGAAAAAAGACCGAAACGCTGTCATTGAAATCACAGTGCAAATTTTCAAGCAGACGCCATTTTGAGATGGTTGCAAAAATAAGCGCTATGTTGAAATCGTGCACTGTATGGAATATGAATGTCTTCTGAGTGAATGTCTTTTGCAAAGAGACTTGAATTATTCAATTTTTCTCTCGAAAAAGGAAAACAAAAATGTCAATACAGGATTTTTCTTCTTCCCATAAATCCATTTACCTGATAACCAACGACACTACCTAGGTCCCATCCTCGTTCCGCTGCCACACGTTCAGCAATGCTTCGAGCTGCAATACGGCGCGGTTGGGTAACAATGATGTTGCATGGTTTCTTATTTTCTCTGGCATCGTCGAGAATGATTTGTGGAATCTGATGGAAACATTTTGACGAAAAACACCCAAATCATGAATGTTTAGACACAAATATGCAACAAAATCACAATTTTCTCTCGAATAGCCGTCAGAAAAATGCCTAAAAATCCATCTAACCTGTGTGCTCTTTCCGCATCCTGTTGATCCTTCGATAACCACCGCTGGACATGTGGCAATGCTTGCCAGAAATTCATGTTTCGATGCGTAAATCGGCAATTGCATGGAACTTTGTGATCGTTGGTCGAACTTGTACCGTTCGTAAATGTCATCGCTTGTTTTCTCTGACTCTTCCGCAATTTTTCCAGCCAATTCGAGATTTCTTCTTAATTTTTGACGCGTAATATCCACATCGTCTTCCAGCGACTCTTTTTCACTTGCTTGCAAACGTGGCCCAAACGTGGGCTTGTTCGTAACATTGAGATAGCCGTTCGAACTTCCACCTGGTATGGAAATCGGCGTGAACGGCTTTCTCTTGTTAAACAATAAGCCTATGAATGGATCCATTTCCACCACTTGAAAATTTTCCACCGAACCGAATGAAAAACTCGAAAATTTTTTTCACTTCAAACACCAAAATTCAAGTTGATCGTTTTTGTAATTTTTTTTCTGTTATTGAAAAGAAAAATGCTTGCGCAACCAAAATCACGTGTTATCAAAACAAAATTCGCTACCAAAATGAACGAGTTGGTTTGTGTCGAATCGGTGTGATGCGTCGGTTTTTGCCAGCGACGAAGCTGTGGTTGAATGTCACCGTGAAGAAAAAGGATGGAGATATTTTGCTGTGCCTCGCACCAAACACGCAATTGTGCCGCTTCAGCAGAAAGCATACGTTTTTGGTGTTCATTTTGCTCACGTACACCAATCAACATCAGCAACACACAGCGTGGAGTGTGACAAAAGTACCGCTTGTCATCGGCACAACATTTTTCGGCAAGTTGAATATTTGCACCAATAGAAACCTCTTCCGAACCAATACCGTATGAAACCGAACTATAACAACATTTGTATTGTTCGATGCAAAGACGATGTGAACAAACATTGAGCCGATTTTTTGTAGCTGTCAAACAACTCTTTGTTGTTTGAATGTCTCTGCTTTATTTTGTTCGTATCTCTGTTGATATTTATGTTTTTCCCACTGGAATGAACACAGAGGCTTTGTGATACAGCCAATTTTCCACATCCAATTTTGATGATGCATCATATGGATTTCGTTTCTGCATTTCATTTTGAAAGCATATCTGCATTTTTCTCGTCTTATCGCTGAAATCTTTTGAAAACATGCACTGTAGCTCGATATTTGTTTGATATTGATGCTGTTGTTCAAACTGCTGCCATGAAAACAGAGTGAGTTGAACGCATTTCAGACACCGTATGCAACACAAAATGAAATAAAAACTGATTGATAGCAGAAATATCATCAGAATTTATGCCATGACATGAAATATGATGGAATTTTTCGTTCAGTCAGAGAGGAATCCTTGAGCAGTTGATATCTTTCGAAGGCCTGCACATCAAAAAGACAATGGTTAACCTTTGGAAAAGAGAATCATCCGTGCGAGACACCAATTACTGTGATCTTTTTTCACACTTGGGCAATGGGCAATACGAACACCTATCACGGGAGTTGCAACAAGGCAAGACTGAGAAAAGCACCGATGTTTCAATTGCATATCGATTGCAAGGCAATGATTTATTCCGCGAAAATAAAATCGCTCAAGCCATGGAACTGTACAACAAGAGTTTGTGCTTTGCTGAAATCGGCACAGAAAATGTGAGTCTGGTGTACGCGAATCGATCGTCATGTTTCCTGGCTTTGAAAATGTACGAAGAGGCTTTGATTGACATTGAATTGGCCGTGAAAGCAAAGTACCCGGATCGATTGATGGCCAAATTGATGAGACGTCAGGCCACTTGCCTTCGATTGATGGAAGCCGAACCGCAACGAAAACGATTCCAACCGAAACTGAGCTTCCAATCGCACGACCGATACCCATGTTTGGCAAACTCACTTGAAATGAAGTGCAATCAAAAATTCGGTCGTCACATTGTCGCAACGCGAGACATTGAGGTCGACAAAATGATCCTTGTGGAACGAAATTTTGCATCGGTTTCAATTGATGATGAGCGGATGTCTTGTGCAAAGTGCATGAAAACCAAAGCCAATTTCATCGCTTGTTCAATGTGTACAGACGCAATGTACTGCTGCATCGATTGCATGCAACGAGATGCCACGCACAAAATGACGTGCGGACAATTCAACGGTGTTGATGGTTCTATGAAGTTATACATTCAAACGGTGTTCATAGCCATTAGTCTCTTCAAAAACGTCGACAATTTGATGGAATTCGTTGAAGAGGCTCTCAAGAGCAATGGCATACAAGAATCTATGATGGATGCAAAGTCACAGTATCGATTGTTTTTGTCGATTCAGCCGTCAATCAACGAGCATGACAAAGATGACCTTATGTTTGATGCCCAGAAAATATACATCATATTACAATCCACACCCACAATCAAAATACTCTTCGGCTCGGTCGCAAAACAACGTTTCCTGCAGCATTTGGTGCTGCATCATTTACTTGTCACTGTACGAAATCGATTTCAAGTCAGCGCCGACGGAGATCATCTGAAAACCACAGAAATCGCATCGATAACTTGTATTTTCAACCATTCATGTTATCCAAATGCATTCAATCATGTCATTGACAATCAATCCGTGCTCATCACCATTCGACCAGTCGAAAAAGGCGAACAATTGTTCATTTCGTACTTGGGAGAAGAAACTGAAAAGTCAACCGATTTTCGCCGAATGTCTCTTATGAACGATTTTGGTTTCTTTTGTGAGTGTGACAAATGCGTACCCCGCTGTTCACGGTCTGATCGAGTTGCAATGGAGATGGACTCATATTTCAAGTACATCAAGCAAAACTACAAAATCGCCTTTGATGAGAAAGTACGACGAATCGCATTGAAGGAGGTGTGCATTCGGTTTCTCAACAAGTACGGCCACTTGCCGTGGTCAGACGAATTGAATTTGGTTACATTCTGCTATGTCAAGTGGTTTTTCGAGTATTCAACCGTTGATTATTAACTGTGAACGACTGAAACTGTGAAATAGGTTTTTTGAACTATAAATTGCTGAATTTATGTTGGGGTCGTTGATTTGATTTTTGTATTTAAAATGTTACTTCTTTTGGAATGAAAACTCAATTAGTAATAAAATGTCAGTAACAAATACATTCAGAGGCACTTAGGCTTGCTTGAGCTTGCTTAGGCTATATTTTATTTTAATATTTTATTTTAATAAACACCGCCAAGCTCTGGCTGAATATAATGTGGGTTTTTGATTAAGGTTTGGCCGGAAAAGAGTGCAAGACTGTTACATATTTAAAATAATAAACATTTAGTAGCGATAATTTTTCATAACTATCAGTTCTCGCCTCGTTAAAAACCTGGCTCTTTTCATACATCATGCGGTATTCACAATATTAGGAACATGAAAACGAAAAAACTGTCATACAACCAAGATGGAAATGCTTGATATTAGTCTATGGCAAACGGTCCATGATAACCTTTGGTAAACGTTTCCAAAGGAACAAAGGCTATGTGAAGCGTTTAATTACACGTTTAATTTGAGACCCTAGGACAGCAAAAGTCGTCGCTCAATTTATACCGGTGGATAAATTGACGAGAAGTTTTACGTCTTAAAGGCAGATCCATGTTGATTGCAGAGTGCATTGAGTTGACATGGACTATGATTTGAAGCGTAACTAGAGCATTTGATGCTAATTATGAATAATTCAAAATTGATTTCAGACATAACAATATTAAGTTGCCAACTCATGGATGGCTACAACAAAGCACAAAATCAAATTTTACAATAAATAATAAGTGTAAACATCACAGATAAGTATCATCATTTCTATACACATAAGAGAATGTATGGGGAACAATTCGTCAGTCTTTTAGTATCGATTTTGCTGTGTGACTCGTGTGCGATGAGTCGAATACCACGTAGGTGGTTGGTACCTGGGGCAGCCCCACTCTTGTTTGTTTCAATCAGCAGCAACCTAAATGGCATTCGGGCAATATGCGTTGTCATTGATGAGTTTGTCCGCTTGAGATCAGGATCAGGTTTAACGGCAAGATGAAAATCGAAATTTCATCATTAATGTGGGCAGTATCAAGGTGTTCTCGTGGAGAACATATACAAAAAATGAGGATAATTGTATACTCATATGTTTTCAATAAAAAAGACAGAAAAACGATGAATTTACGTTTTTGAAATGCACCATACATTTGTTCACAGCAATGCGATAAAAAATGCCAGTTTTCAGTTGATTGGAAAAAAGTAACGATTTGAGGTTCGAAACAATATTTCGTTTACGTTCTTATTCAATACAAAGTCTGCGTTGTTTGTCATCTTAATACACCTCTTTTATGCGAACTGGCAGGATTATCGATCAAAAGGAAAGTAAATATTACTAACATTGATAAAAATAATAAAATTCAATGTTGAGTCACTTGAGAAAATATCTATTCAACATTGAAGGAGCGAGAAAAAATTGTCAAATTGTCTTGAACACGAGCAACGAATGACTGCATTCATAATTCGAAATGGAGGATTACTTCAGATGAATGTTGATAAGATCCACGAACGATTTTAAAACACGGCTTTGTGTACACAAGAAAAGTTTTTATCGGTTTAACACTTGAGTAGTAGCGATTGTTTAGCGCACTTTCATAAACCATATCATGGTGGCTCGAGTATAAACAAAACCCAATTCTCAGAATGTAGGGCAATAAAATCGCAAGAAATATTAACAATTGCGATGCCAGCTTAGTTTACAAATTTATGTTCGAGTTTTTTTTCTGCCTATGCTACATGGCTTGTTTTGAAATGCAAGAATAAGAAGAGACGATATTGCGTTGCAGTGTGTTGGGTGAAACCATCAGAAAAATTAGAGAGCCGGTTCGTTTGTTTCATACTACAATGTATCAATAGAATGGACGTGCCGCAAAATACAACACACAATTTCGTTTAGCCATGCTTGTGAATACATCGCAATAAGAATCGGATCGTACGAAACAAACACGGTTTGGGTGTGTTAGACTCTAACACTGTTGAGTGAGTAACGATTACATAGCTGGCAGCTCATATTACTACATATGTATACAGCTGTACACATTCGTTTGTTTGGCTTATTGGGATCGCATCAGAATAAACAAAAACATTAACAGCAAACGCATACTATATTTCAACGTGTGTTGCCATTTGTGTGGATGTATACATAGCATGCGATGTGAATACATGATTCCTACACAAATTACTAAGTTTGCATTCAGTTTGTCAGTGACAGTGCCGAGATAAAGAATATAAACAGCAACGAAAGGAATTTAGTTGAACAATAACGATGGGAAGTTTGTGGAAAAAAGAAACAAACCGTGCTGATGCGCAATTAGTTGATCTATTTGCTAACATTGGTCAAAAAAGTTCCGTTCAAGAATGGGACCGTCAAATTAAATCATCCAATTGGAAGCATCGCTTTTTGATGACGGCCGTCGATGCGGGAAAAAATAACTCTATTTCGGATAATTTTCGTGCAAACGGCAATATGTATTTCAAACAAAAACTGTGGGTTGAAGCCATGGAATTCTACAGCCAAAGTCTGTATTTTGCCGAAACGGGAACCAACAATGTGAGTTTTGCGTATGCAAACCGTGCCACATGTTTTTTGAACATGAAAGAATATGAAAAGTGTCTGAAAGATATCGATTTGGCCGTTGAAGCAAAATATCCGGAACATTTGATGTCAAAATTGATGAAACGAAAGGCTGACTGCGTGAATCTTATGAAGAAAAACCCAGCAGTTGCAGCATTTGATCCGAAACTCAGTTTGAAGGCGAGTGAACCATTCCCGTGCATGGCCGATGCGTTGGAAATACAACGGAATGACGAGTTTGGTCGACATCTGGTAGCTAAATGCGATATTGACGTAGGTCAAACAATCTTGGTAGAAGAAAACTTTGCATCTATTGCTTCTGGGTATGACCGTGTCAATTGCTTCGAATGTATACAAACTAAGATGAATTTCATGCCTTGCACCGAGTGCAGCGATGCTTTGTTCTGCAGTGCCGATTGCCGAGACCGTAGTGAAATTCACAAAGTAAGCTGTGGTGCAACCATTCATCGTATGCCCAACAATGTCAGATACATAGCCAGATCGATTTTGGTGGCTTTGAAATCATTCACAAATGCCAACGATATGATGGACTTTGTCGCGAATATTTTGTCAGAACGTGCGACTAAAATACCGGCCGCAGCAAATGATGTGCGATCAAAGTACGCGCTATTTTTGAGCCTACAACCAGCATCGCCAGGTGTGCTTGATATCGAAACTGTTTACAAGGTGTTCAAGGGACTTTTGGAAGTTCCATCCGTTAAAGCCATGTTCGAATCGAAACAAAGTCAACGCTTTTTGATGCATTTAATTGGTGAGCATTTCCTGATCATTTCGAATAATTCGTATGGTGGATCGTTGTCAAGTGCATCGTCCATTGGAACAACAGCACTTGTGATGTCCTTATTCAATCATGCATGCGCCCCAAATGTATTCAACTCTTCGATGGGCAACAAAGAAGTTTGTATCACCATGCGTCCAATAAAAAAGGGCCAGCAATTGTTTGTTAAGTATTTGTGCGGCGATCGAACTACAAGACAGCGTCAAGATATGCTTTTGAATCAGTGGGGATTCCTTTGCAAATGTGACAAATGCGTTCCGCATTGCTCACCAGGCGATCGCTCGAAGATGAAATCTGATCCATGTTTCAAGGCATTGGTCAAGTCAGCATCAATCAACTTTTACGACATTACGAATTTCTCCCAGTTAACGAACAAATGTGTTCAGTTTCTCAAGAAATACGGTCATTTACCATGGTCCGAGGAAATGGACGTCGTTCTTAAAGCCTACACCAAATGTTTATTAGATCCATTCCCAGATATGTAATTCATTTTTGAAAATCGCTCTTTGAAATTCAGAATCTCAATTCATTTACATTCATTAAAAAATATTCAATCCGTGACACTTTGATACGAAATAATCAGTAAATATTAAACTCAAAAGAAATGACATTATTCTTTACATACTCTTGAAATTGTGAATGTATCATAGGAAGCTGATAAAAATTTTCAAATAAAAATACATTATCTAAAAGAAGCGTTTTTATTGTTGGTATTGTACTTTTTGATTGGATTTAGATCGACTGTATGACTGAATTGCCGATAATATATTTTTTGCTTGTTTCTAGGCTCGTTTCAGTGTGAAAAATCTAAGGTTAGTAAACTATAGATTTCTATGAAAATAATTCAAATATGGGGAAAATATGAAGTGTAAGTATGACTGAAAATCAAAAACAGCACAAATTGGAAAAAGTAAGGTTTGCCATTTCATTCATTGTAGTAGTCTTTGAGTGCAGTGTCGGTTTAATAGGTCGTCCACAAATTATCAACGAATCTCACATGCACACGTCATTTGCGAATGACAGTTTACACAACTGTCAAATGGAATGTGCACAAATACTGGATCAGAACTTACTCAACGATTTAATCGCTTTAATTGCTTGGTTTATGTGAATTAACGTACACGCGATAATTTGAAACCTTCATAATATTTTGCTAATTTTAGTAGTTCTCTTTGAAAAACATGGAAAATTTGTGGGAAAAAGAGTTGTGTGAAGGAAGTACCAGTTATGTTGATATATTTGACGATATTAAAACCGAATCAGTGTCGAGTGGCCATGGTTTAAGCAAAAATGATTTGATATCAACGCAACTTCGAGAAAAGGGCAATCAAAAATTCAAAGATAGCCTCTGGATCGATGCGATGGATTATTACAATAAAAGTCTTCGTTTCGCTGCGATTGGCACAAAGAACATGAGTTTTGTGTATGCAAATCGTGCGGCTTGTTTTTTGCATTTGAAAATGTTCGACAAATGCCTGATCGATATTGAAATGGCCAAGGAAGGAAACTACCCAAAAGAATTGTTACCAAAGTTGGAGAAACGTGAAGCGGATTGCTTGAAAATGATGAAGCGAGAAAAACAAGAGCATCTTTTGGAGCGAAAGCTAAGCTTTGAAGCAAATGCAAATTTCCCGTGTTTGGCCAATGTGGTGGAGATTCAATGGAACGACGAGTTTGGACGGCATGTCATAGCCAAGTGTGATTTACCAGCCGGCAAGACAATTTTGGTTGAAAAATCCTTTCTGTCAACCACTTTATCGGGGCCATTCATCGGCTGTGCTACGTGCCAACGAACCACAATGAATTTCATTGCTTGTGACCATTCAATGATGTCATTGCTTGACAGCACCATCGCTGTGTTTTGTGACGACCACTGTAAGCAAGCCGGACTACATAAATATGATTGCAACTTTGTCTACGATCGAAACCAAGCCAATGATAGTCAACTACGAATGATGGCGCAGACAATTTTCTTTGGTATGGATGCGATGGAAAATATCGATGAGATGATTCAGTTCGTCGAAGAGACCGAACGAATCAAATCCAGTTGGACACCTGATTCGATCGTTGACGCTAAATCCAAATACCGCCTATTTTTGACGCTTGCTGCCTTTCCCGATGAAAATGAGAAGAAGTCTTTAGTTGTAAAAGCAAAAAGTCTGTATGGGATATTGATCGGCATACCAACGGTAAACGGTGTATTCAACACAACAGAAAAACAACAATTTCTCAAGCATCTTGTCACTAAGCACGTGGTCATCGCAAGTCAAAATGCCATCAATGCGACGCAGAATCAGTGCCAACGTATCGCTACACTGGGCCTCATTTTTCCTTTGTTCAACCATGAGTGTGCTCCGAATCTGTTAAACTTTTCAATTGGCGACCAACAAGTATGCATTACCATGCGGCCTGTGAAAAAGGGTGGACAACTGTTCGTGTCATATGTTACTGCCGACGTTTCAACTAGACTGCGACAGACTCATTTAATGAACAATTTCGGATTTTTATGCAAATGTGATAAATGCGAGCTCAAATCTTCGACATTAGCTGCCAAAAAGTTATTGGCAGACCCGCTTTATCTTTTTCTGCAACGAAATCGCAAAGTTGATTTGTTGAATGATACCATCAGAGCGAACATCAAGGAAAAATGCATCGATTTGTTGAACAAACACGGACAAACTTGGTTTCCGGAGCTGGAATTCGTCGTGGATTTGTATGTTAAGAGTGAGCTGTATGAGCATTGAAAACGACGACTGTTTGAACATAAAAAATGACGAATATTCGGATTTTATTATTTGTTACAATTCGACTCGAACCATTAAGCCGTGACATTTCGTCGCCAAAAAAATGACGTTCATAATAAAACTTCTTTCGAGAAAGCAATTAAATTTGAATGTGTTTTGTTTTGGTATTAAATTCTTTTTTACACAGATCTACAGAGAATACAAGGGCAAAGCAGAGCGTAAGTGTTGTTATTTCTTGAGCTGGTCATTGAGATAATTCTCTTGCTGTATTTGGTATATTTGTTTCAATTTTTAGGAATAACATGTCTTTCCACGAATTTATGTTTGTATGTTTATGTGATAGCCCGAAATTTGATTGCTTTTCAAGTGGAACGAATTCTCTAAATACGTACGTACAAAAAGAAGTACTGTTATGTCAGCAATTTCATTTACCCATGTTCTGTATGCTTTCTGTTCGATGCAAAAAAGTCAATTCGACGACAGAGACGAACGTGTGAAGAAAACGTAAAAAATAGACATCAGCAGGCGACTGAAATGGTGTTAGTGAAGTGACTTCAATACAAACGGCAAACGATATTGTTGTTGGTGTCGCTATTTCGTCTCTTTCGTGATTCCATTTGGAATGTGATGTTTTGTAAACAATAACTCATACTTGCACACATACACATTCCATTCCGTTTGCATCGATAGCAAAAGTGGTGTAAGGATTGACGGCTGTTTGATGACGCATAACTCAAGCAAGAGCATACATGTCTTGCATTTCGATCAACAGTCTCATTTTCATTCGTCAGCCGAACAGATCCAAGTCGTGGCAGTGTGAAATACGGGGGAATCTCGGAGAAAATTCAAAGAATATCCAAAGATACAGCCGAAAAATATGGAAAACTGGAGACAAACTACCGACAATTGGCGACTAAGAAATGGTGAATCTGAAGGTTTGTATAGTGTTGTTTTGAAAAAAAGAAACTCGATCGGATACGAAGTGAAGAGAAATTGTGAATAATATTATAGCAGTGAATTGTCGAGAAAAATGCGAAATTTCATCACATGAGTTGTTTTTTTTCTTCATTGATTTGTGATTTGACAAAACGTTGTGCTGAGGCAAACACAAAACACTAGCTACTGAGTGCAAATCGAAAAAAATGAGCACTGTCATTTTAATAGCTAATTGTCAAATTTATTACAAATAACAACAATTAAGTGAATGCTTTTTTTTCTCTTGTGTATGAGTTATGTGCCAGGTCAGTAAAAACCTTATTAGATCAAGATTGAATGGATAATACGTGCTCAATGACCGAAAGTGCAAATAGAAAAATTAGGTGAGTTGTGTTGATGCTTTATTTTAATGGAGTTTATTTTATTATTCAACAGGTTTTCGAATGCCATTATCACCCAGCGATGATACCAGAACGAACACCAATTGGAACGGCAAATTTGGAAACAACAACAATTTCGTTTATCACAAAACGTGAGTAAAATTGTGAAAACAATCAGAAAAATTGTTGAATGTGACTCTTTGTGCGCCAAAATTCGAATGTTTTGAATTGAAATGAATGACACTAGGGGGAAATAGGAATGACAGCACTGTATTGGCCTTTGTTTGTGAGATTTTTCTGCGCAGCGGAGAAACAATAACGCCATTTTGTTTTTCGTGCGAATGTTCTAAAACGTTCTTCTGTTGTTCACAAACCAAAACAACAAGTGGTTGCAAAAATGATGCCGCGTTTTCTGTAAAATCATTGAATGTTCTAAGGAAAAATTAGTGCATAAACGCTCAATTGTTCCGATTTTCATTACAGTCACCTGGAACCTGTTCTGTGGAAGAAAGAGACAACCCATGAAGACTCGTTATATGTCGACCCTTATGCGAGCATTCAATTCGATTACCAAAATGATGTGCAACAATGGAAACACCACTTGAACGATCTCAATTCACCAGAAACGGCACGTCTATCGGAAAAGAATAATAATATCGCCGATCGGCTGATGGAGTGTGGACACGCCGAATTCCATAGCCATAATTGGAACGATGCATTAAATTCGTACAGTCAAGCGCTATGTTTCGCTGAACGAGGTACAATGTACGAGGTAATAGAAGCATCCGTGAAGTAGCAATTTGAAACATTTCATTAATATTCGACTAAATATTTTTTGATAGGGTTTGGCCTATGGCAATCGTGCACTTTGCTTCTTCCAATTGGGAATGTATCGCAATGCCGTGATTGACTTTGATTTCGCCGCAAAAAAACGTTGTCCTGAACCATTTTTGGTCGATGTGCAGAGCACACGAGCTGAATGTCAGAAGATGGCAAAGAAACACACTGAGCCGAAGGTTCGTGTGCCAAAATTGCGAGTATCAACTGACAAGAAATTCCCCTGCATGGCAAGCAGCCTGGAAATCAAACGAAACAAGGATTTTGGTCGATGTGTCTTCGCAAAGCGTGACATTGAAATTGGTCAAACGGTGTTGGTGGCCGAGAGTTTTGCATCAGCAATCACAACCGAGAAGCAAGTGTACTGTTTGACGTGCCAAAAGATGGAGATGAATTTCATACCATGCAAAAATTGCTCCGACGTTATGTTCTGCGACGAAGACTGCGTCAACTATGAAAATTTGCACAAAATGGAGTGTCAGACATGCTATCATCAGATCAACGATGTCAGCCTGAAGTTTGTCGTTCAAACGATTTTGGTGGCAATCGATATGTTCCCGAACATCGAAAGTCTAATTGCATTCGTCGATGAGGTGACAAGCGACAAAGGCTGTGACAAGATACCAAAGACATCATGTGATGCTCCATCGAAATATGGCATTTTCCTCAAATTGACGCCAACATTCAAGGATGAATACCTGTTTCGTGCATATCAAGCATTCACGTACATCAATCTCATACCGAAAGTCAAGTACTTATTCGATACAGAGGCAAAGCAACGTTTTTTGATGCACTTGGTGCTGCATCACACAATCGTCATTCCAAAAAATGCATTCTTCGATGTGGCCCAGTTCACCGATCAATTCACTGTTAAGTATATTTTTGACGTCCTGTCTATTGTGAATCATTCGTGTGCTCCGAATCTGCACTTTGCAACCAGCGGAAAGCTTGGCTACTGCATAGCTGTGCGCCCAATCAAAAAAGGTGATCAGGTTTTCATCAATTATTTGGGAGATGACGTCCACAAATTGCCCGAAGAACGACAGAAATTGCTCAAGGACAATTGGGGATTCGAGTGTCAGTGCGATAAATGCGTAATCATCGAATATTCACCCGAATATGAAGTCATGAAAATGGATCCATCGCTCAAATACGTGATTCGCAACTTCGAAAACAACCAAATCACACCGGACAACACGAAACGTATGCAGCTCAAGAAGCAATGCATCAAGTTTCTGAAGAAATACGGCCATCTGCCATGGTCAACCGATTTGGCGTTCGTGATCAATTGTTTCACATCACTTTAAGCTAACAAGATGTTTTGAGCATTTTTTATATTCATATCATCGTTTTTTTACTCATAAGTTCATATTATTGTCATATGTAGAACCAGGTTTTTTTTTACCCTGGCGTATCGCAAAACACAGAACGTTTTTAAAAGAAATTTTCAATCATTACTGAACAACATTATAATATTATTGTCATAGCAAGTATTTGTTAGTCTCATATTCGTTTCTATTTAAAGATTTGTTTTTACATAAAAATACATCCGAAATAAAACAACACTGATCAAAACATGAAAACATCACCATCGGTGTATATCAGAATTTTTCGCAATAAAAAGAGAAAAAAAATTGGTACAAGACATTATTCATCGTGTAGTTTGTCATTTTTTCATCACCTTCGGCTAGTGATAAAACGTAGCAGATTCATTCAGAATTTTATGGCAAAATCAAGTCAATCAGTGAAAATCCAATAGTTATAAACATATCTTCTTTACATATTAAATATAATCAAATATTTGTTAAATGAAAATAAGAACGCTGGAATTTTTGAAAAGTAAAATAAAAAATACGAGAAAGATCTGGAGAATATTTTAGAACAGCATTTAGTACTCGATCCATGAAATTGAAAGCAAATGACGTAAACCTAACCTCTTTGATTTTATTCGCTCGCCAAAGTCGCATTGTTCTTACATTACAGACATTGATTGTACACGACTAAAGGTAATTTTCTCTAAATTCTTGATTATTTTCTCAAAATCATTTATATGATACCTTTTTCTAGCCATGGATAACTTGTGGAAGAAAGAGACGAGTGCATCGGATGCGCGTTACGTAGATTTATTTGCGTCGCTACCAGAAAACAGATGGAATGATTTTCAACTCGATTTGCTGGTGGACCTAGTTAAAACCGAGCAATTTCGTAAGAATAATCAAATGTCAACCGAATTCCGGATGCATGGAAATGGGCTATTTCGTTCGAACGATTGGCTTAGTGCGATAGGTTGCTATAATCAAAGTTTATGTTTTGCTGAAATTGGTTCGGAAAATGTCGCCTTGGCATATGCAAATAGATCGGCTTGTTGGTTTCACCTGCATAAGTATAATGAAGTGCTTATCGATATTGAACTCGCCTTGAATTCAAATCTCCCTGTTCACCTGAAGCCGAAGCTTGAAAAACGCAAGCAGCAGTCGCTGGAATTACGTCAACCGGGTGAATCTCTAGATATACCACAATTGCTGTCCAAGTATAAATTAAGCTACGAAGCAAGTAAGAATTTCCCGTGCATGGCAGATGTGTTGGAGATAAGATGCAATGAAGAGTTTGGTCGGTATTTAGCAGCAAAATGTGATATACCAGTGGGAAAAATTGTCTTATCAGAAGAGAATTTCGTAGCAAGTATACCCGATAAAACAATGCTATGCCAGATGTTATGTCATGCATGCCTTTTACCAAACACGAATCCGGTCGCCTGTGCTCATTGTTCAAGTGCTCTTTTTTGTGGCGTCGACTGCATGGATCGAAATCAAACTCATAAATGGGAATGTGGTACATTTTTCGCCCGACTGGATGATACGAAATTTGTGATTAAAACCATTTTGGTGGCTGTGGAATGTTTTGGAAGTGTCGAGGAATTGATGGCATTCGTTGAGAGTGCTTTGCTCGAAGATCCCATGAAATTGCCTGAATCGATGCATGATTCCAGATTGAAGTACCATTTCTTCTTCAAACTAAAAACATTGCCGCCACCATGGGATTGTGAAACAACCATTAACTTCATATTCAAGGCATACAAGCAGATATTGAACATGCCTAACATCGCAGCTGTCTTTGACAGTGAAGAAAAGAAGCGGTTTCTCATGCATTTGATTGGACATCATCATTTCATACGGAATGGAAATGGAGTTAGTCTCGGCGAAGGAGTATCTATAACTAACGTTACCTCTATTCTCAACCACTCTTGTGCACCCAATGTTTTCGAATGCAACATTGCTCGGAAGAAGTTCTTTGTCACCTGCCGACCGATCAAAAAAGATGAGCAACTCTACTTCAGCTATCACACTTTTGACCAATCGAAAACGCTTGAACAACGACAAAATTTATTAAAGTCGGCTTGGAATTTTATCTGCAAGTGTGAACGTTGCAATCCAACCAATAAACCCGTTGATCGACAAATCATTATGTCCGATCCATGTTACAAATTCGTGCTCGAAAATCAAGGCGTCTATGAAAAGAATGCAATTGTGATGGAAAACTGTATCAAGTTCTTAAATGAGTATGGTCGTTCACCATGGTCAGAAGAAATTCAATTTGTGACAGAAGCCTACGAATCAGCCATTCAACTCTCAGTATTTGATAACAAATCGCTCTAAACTGAAGAAGGTATAACTTATTAATTTTATTCACCATAATCAAATTACTACAACACCGTTTGTTTGATCTATTCAGGAGGTAGACCGATGGAAAATGAAACTCAGCACATCGTTTAATTTAAATCATGGCATCAAAATCAATCAGACAATGTTGTAATTCGAAACATCAACAATAGTAGTCTTCAAATTTTACAAGAGCACTTTGCCAACTATTTTGCGTTACTCATAATATGTAATTGAGATACGTTGTTTTTTTGTAGATGGATAATGTACAACTAATCTGATTAGTTAGCCAGATGAAGAAATAGCTAAGGAACATAACTTATAAGATTCATATATACGGATATGACCTTGTGGTCAAATTCTATATTTTATGATTACAGACTATATTGGCACTGTCGTATCGAATCGACAACAATAATTTTGCATATTTTTTGTGCTAGCGTTCGTAGAAAGAATACAGAACAATGTCCATTGATACAGCCGCAATTTTTGTTTTCAAACTTATTTCAAGAGCCGTTTTCAAATGTATGAACGATGGAACATATTGAATACCCCAGCCATATTCACATTTCATATAAATTTTGTAAAAAATTCACTTAAGCAATTTAAAAAAAAAAATAACTAAATCTAAAACTACTATAATTTTTTTGTCTTGCTTTTTCACGAAAGTTCAGTCGAAAAATGTAAAATATTTCCATTGAAATCTGATATCAATAAATAGTATGCAAGTTTGATTTGAATCTTCATTCCACAATACTAATTATTTGACTTATTTTGAAATTAAATTGTTTAGAACACAGCTTTTAGTACCGATTTGGCAATTGATTTGTTTGACATAATCTCAAATCTACTGACACAACCGCATGGTTTTTTCTGCACAACTCATACAGCTTTTATATTCGAAGAAACGTGAAACGGTGAGTCTATCCTCTTCTATAAAAATAAATTATAATAATTATTTGCACTCATCAGAATAAATTGCCATAGAAGCAACCATCAAATAACCAGCCATGGACAATTTGTGGAAAAAGGAGACCACCCAAAATCGCACCAGATATGTCGATCTTTTCGCTTCCATCCATGAAGATGCACAGACTGCCGAAAAATTGAAAGAAGGTTTAAAGGCTTTGGAATCAATCACTTCACCGAAAGATAATCAAAAATCTACAGAAAAACGAATGCATGGGAATAAAGTTTTTCGCACGAATGAATGGTATAGAGCAATGCATCTGTACACAAAAAGTTTACGTTTGGCAGAAATCGGATCCGAGAATGTGGCCCTAGCCTATTCAAACAGATCGGCGTGTTTTTTTCACATGGGAATGTACGATGAAGCGTTGGTAGACATTGAACTGGCCAAAAAAGCCAATTTGTCTGACCGTTTGTTGCCGAAGCTTGAATGACGTAGGCTAAAATGTCTGGAACTGATGGACATGGTACAACGAGATCCAGGATATCAACCAAAATTGGACTATGCAGCGAATGAACATTTTCCTTGTTTGGCTGACGTAGTGAAGATACAATGCGATGAAGAATTTGGTCGACACCTGGTAGCTAAGAGTGACATTCCATATGGAAAAGTAGTTTTGTTGGAAGAAAAATTCGCGGTGACTGATGTGGGCGATTTCTCCATGTGCTACACATGTTTCCGTGAAAACTCGAATTTCATTGCCTGTAAAGGATGTACAGAAGTGGTGTTTTGCAGCCTTGAGTGCATGAATCGAAACCAAACTCACGGATGGGAATGTGGCAAATTTATTGGACGCGTATACCTACCTAATAATGTTAAAGTTCAATGTGGTACGAACCGAATGAGATTGGTTGCGCAGACACTTTTGACCGCCATTTCAACATTTGCAGATATTGTGACTTTGATGCAATTTGTTGAGAAAATGTTGCGCGAAGATCCTGATCAATTACCGTCATCTTTGCATGACCAAGTCTCGAAGTACCACTTCTTTTTTAAATTGAAGAAAAGAATGGTAGATCCTTTGGATGATGTGAAACGTGTATTCCTTTACACGATGACATTACCAAAGATTAGAGCGATGTTCGACAGTGAGGAGAAGCAACGTTTTTTTATGCATTTGGTCGCACACCATTCATTTGTTGTAGATACAAATTCGTTTGGAAACGACTTAAAATCATCTGTGGAAAATGTTGGATCATTGTTAAATCACTCCTGCGACCCAAATATAACTACATGCGATTTCGGCAAGATAAAAAGTCATATGACCTGTCGACCGATTAAAAAGGGGGAACAGCTGCTCACAACATATATCGATATGAATTTGTCAAAAGAACTGCGTCAAGAAAAACTACGTAAAATTTGGGGATTCGAGTGTAAATGCAAGAAATGTGTTTCAACTGATGATTCGGATGAAATAAACACTCCACCAACATTGGATCCAACCACATGAATGGTGCTTGAAAGTCTACAAGAGTTCTGCAATATTATATCTAAATCGTAAAGATTCAACATGCCAAAAAAAAACTATAGTTTTTTGTGTGTATACACACATATCTACCACAAAAACTAAATTTATACATTTTTCATAAGCTAGCAAACGGCTGGAAACAGAAACAATAATCAACAATATTAACAATTTGCATTAACCTTTCCATGAACAAAATACTCTTGAGCTTAAGAAATTACTCATATCAATTTTGTACTGAAAAATTTGCCACTGGTCAAATAGCACAAAAATAAACATTTTTGAATTTGTAATCAAAACCGGAATTGTGATTTTCATTTCGTAGTACATAACAACAAAAAATGATTCAAAATTTGAATTGACTGGAGTGTGGCACATTTGTCAACTGTTTGATGAATGAAGAGATTCCTCTTCTAATGAGATTGCACATTCAATTGGTTTCTATGGCGATCGAAACCTTCTCAATTGTAGAACATTTGATGCAAGTCGTTGAAGGTGTATTGCGTGAAGATCTGAAAATATTACCGACGTCATTGCTCGACGCCAAATCAAAGTATCACTTTCCCTTCAAGATGAATCGTATGGTGCCAAGAGCGAGTGCTTTTCAAATTCTGTGCACCATATTTCGTATTTATAAGGCGGTGATTTCCGTACCAAAAATTGCCGCTTTATTTGATTCAGTGGAGAAGTAACTTTTCTTGATGCATTTGGTTACTCATCATTTCTTGGCGACAAACAACAATACAATTGAACCAGAATGCACCATTGCTAATATTCGGTAGTTGCTGAATGATTCAGCCTGAATCATTCGTGTGCGCCAAATTGGCTGTTTTGTTATTCCGAGGATCGACGATGGTGCATCACAATTCGACCAGTCAAAAAAGGTGAAAAGCTGTTTATCAACTATTTCAATCCAACTGAAATAGAGTCATTGACATCGACAGGATTACGCCAGGAAAAACTCAAATTCGATTGGAACTTTGTGTGTAAATGTGACAGATGCATACTCAGCAACGAAGCGATTCATTTTGACATCGTCAAATCTGATTCATCGTTGGAATTTTTGGCAAAGAAACTCCGCGGACAAAAGCAAATCCGCAGCCGTATTGGAAAATTGCATTCGATTTGGACATCTACCATGGTCTAGCGAACTGCAATTTGTTACGAACGTCTAAACAAAAACATTGTCAGAACAGTAGAAAATAGTTCGCGCTTTTTCGTGCTGAATAAATATCTAAGCATCCCATACATTTTTTTCTATTACATATATATATCTTGGAGTGCAACGAATAAAAATATCAAATACATTTGAACAGGTAAGATCAAAAGTGAGTTACACTTTAAAATACTGCAAATTCAAGTCTCACTTTTGATCTTACCCGTTCATTTGTTGAACATGTTTTTTCCTCATTCCACTTCATATCTCTATGACGTAAAGGTCATTTCATGTTCATTTTTAGCACAAAATTTAGTACATTAAGATTTAATCAAAAAGAGAAAACCTAACCTCCATAATTTTATCTGCATATCGGCGTCATTCTTCATTGACTTCGCAGCAAGTGATTTGCTGTATAAAAAGGGATTACAGCAATTTGTAAAAAATATATAAATTGATCGCAATATATCATTAGAAATACTGTTCAAAGGCACAATCAGAAATGGATAATTTGTGGAAGAAGGAATCAAACGGAGCTGAAGCTCAGTATGTTGATCTGTTTGCTCATCTCGATGACGAACAAAAAGGAGATTTGATCGATGAGTTTACAAAATTGAGTACTACGTCTGCAGGTCACAAGGATAATCAATCTTCAAGAACGTTCCGTCAGCGTGGAGATGATTTTTTTCGAGATGAAAACTGGTCCGAAGCAATGGATTCATACAATGAAAGCTTGCGTTACGCAGACGAATCGGAAAATGTTTCAATTGTATACTTGAACAGATCGTCGTGTTTTTTCAATATGAAAATGTACGAGAAAGCATTGGTTGATGCTGAACGCGCGATGAGCTCAAATGCCCCGACTCATTTGATTCCAAAGCTCGACCAATGCAAACAACGATGCCGAGAGCGGGTGGACAATATTAAACAGCCACCAGAATGGGTTCCAACATTGAGCTACGAAGCAAATGAAAATCATCCATGCCTAGCGAACGTCATCGATATCAATTACAATCGTGAGTTTGGTCGATATTTGGTTGCAACGGCTGATATTCCAATTGGAAGAACGGTGTTGGTCACTAAGAGCATCGCATCAGCATTCACAGCCGAGAAGCAAGCGTACTGTCACACCTGTCAGAAGATTAAAATGAATTTTATTCCATGCAAAAATTGCTCCGACGTTATGTTCTGCGACGAAGACTGCGCCAACAAAGACCATTTGCACAAAATGGAGTGCCAGTCATGCTATCATCAGATCAAAGATATCCGCCCGAAGCTCATTGTTCGGACAATTTTGGTTGCAATCGATATTTTCCCTAACATCGAAAGTCTAATTACATTCGTCCATGAGGTGACAAGCGACAAAGGTTGTGACACGATTCCAAAGACATCATGTGATGCACCATCGAAATATGGCATTTTCCTCACATTGACGCCATCGTACAAGGATAAAAATCTATTTCGTGCATATCGGGCATTCACATACATCAATCTCATGCCAAACGTCAAGCAAATGTTCGATACAGAAGCAAAGCAACGTTTTCTCATGCACTTGGTGCTGCATCACACGATTCTTATTCCAAAAAATGCATTCGGCACTAGAGCCCAATACACACTCGAGGACATCTATGATGTCTTGTCAATGGCCAACCACTCATGTTCTCCAAATTTGGAAAGTTTCATTCGTGGAAAACTTTACTATTGCGAAACTGTGCGGCCAATCGAAAAAGGCGACCAGCTGTTCATAAATTATTTGGGCGATGAAGTTATTGAACCAACCAGTCGACGATGGGAATATATCAAGAAGAATTGGGGATTCGATTGCAAGTGCGATAAATGCAAGAGCGACAAATGAACTTTGAAAATAGAATAAATCTCGAGGGAGAACACGAAACGTATGCAGAAACTCAAGAAACAATGCATCAAGTTTTTGTGAAATACGGTCATCTACCATGGTCAACCGAACGGTTCGTTATCAGTTGTTTTTTGATAATTGAAGCTCCCGTGTTTGGAGTCTTTTTTGTATTTGTTTTGTCATTTTATTTCCAATAATCTTACCATGAGATGATATGTTATCAAAACACATTTTAAGGCTTTTGCTGAAGAGACATTCCGGATGATTCAAACTATAAGAAAAAGACATCACTATCGATATGTGTATCGAAAAATTTATTGCAATAAAAAGAGAATTGTAACACTAGTCTGAGTGGTTTTTGTTCACAGATTTTTGTGCCAATCTCGGAATTGGTTTGGGCTCCTCAATACCTCAATTTGTAGGTAATTGCAATTGCTTTCGATCCCGCCTGACCGATTTGTGATATATGATCTTAATTCATAGTCACACACCACTGAAAATGACTTCAAGATTTTATATGGGTAAATTTGTTGAGTGGTTCATGTTAACATATTTTTGTACTTTTCTCGGAACTATTGGAATGATAAATACCTCAATTTGAAGGTAATTGCAATTGCTTTCGATCCCGCCTGACCGATTTTTGATATATGATCTTGTTTCATAGTTACACACTAGGGGTTTCAAGCAACTTAAAATTCATCTAAAAGTTCAACATTTCTCTCTTTTCTCTCACATTCTCTGGGATTCACAAAAAACCGTGTTATTTCGAAATATTTCAACATTCACCTTGAGAATTATGTTCTGGAAGTTCCCTGAAGAGGTGTACAAGGTATGCGAAATACTTCTGATGATTAATTGGCGCATGTACGACGGACAGACAGAGAAATTAAAAATGGACCGAAACCACGAATATAGTTCGTACATCAAGTTTCAGTGTTATTGTCAAAGAGCAATTTAATCAAGACGAACACAACTACAAGGGAAAACGAAAGCGACCAATAGAAACAGCTATATACCTGTAGTTAACCAAAGAAGATGCAAGCACAAGCATCCATCAACCAAGCGTCCTTCGCCGAAGCGGCAAAATACCTTTCTCAAATAATGTTCACGGATACTGACGAAAAGTATTCTAATACAAATATGTCATTAGCTGATATCACGCAATATTTCAGCAACACTTAAATACACAAAATTGCCGTTCACACTCTATCACTCGAATTCGACCAATTCTTAGATGGTGAAGTCTTCACTTGGAAATTGTTGAAAGAGGTCCATGACCCTCTGCGTAAATGTGCTTTACAATGGAAGCCAAACACACACATCCAACTCCAAAATGCACCAAAATGTATCGACAGAAAACATCTGGAACAACATATGTGCTGATTTACGCACATTCAACGATACGAACGTGGGCATAGCAATCGACATGTTGATATCTGTGCTATGTGATGATCTACCCGGCACAACATGTGCCAACAAAGTGAATTACACTCAATTTGTCGATTTAACTGGTTTCCAACCGACGCTAGTTCAACACCTTCGACAAAATCAGGAGATTGTTTAATACGGTAAATTTAAAATGTCCAATTCTAACAAGAAAAGTATTGCTGAAGACCAATTTACTAGAAAAAAGTTCTTGGAAAGAAGAAACAAATAAAACTGTAAGCTATAGTAACACAATTGAAATTCGAGTAGAAATAAGAAAAGGTACATTTTTAACTTTACTAAGAAGAGTGTCTTCGGCATTGTTGTAGAGCATTGGAAGAACTTGAACTTGACAAAGACACCTGATAGCTATCGCTTTTTTGTGATTTGTTCGGTTATACCAGGTTTATACACCAATTTTGACTAAAATTGGAGAGGTTGATAAAGAATTTTGTCCCAGTTGGTGTGGAATCGTCGTGTAATATTCATCAGAGCTTTTCTTCACAAATCCTATATGCATTTCATCGAATTTTGTAGGCTTTGTTATGCGCTAAATCCATCACACTGAATAAATTCATGCGATAGATTTATGCGATAAATGTGATGCGCTCGCTTTGCGGTGAACGAGGTCTGTTGCTCTTCGCATGAATTTATTCCGCGTGATGGATTTAGCGCATAACAAAACCTGGAATTTTGTCGTTCACTTGTTTTCACTAAAAGTTGAAGTCTTGTTTTTTTCACGATGTTGAGCACTAAAAAACGTTTTTCATGGAAAAAGTTTAATGGCAATACATGGCAGTTTGCATGGAAACAAACTAAATCGTTAAAAATTTACCAATTTTCGAACCTAGAATTCACCATGTGCCACATTTCCCGATTGTCGATGTGGAACTTGAACGACGCACATTTCGAATGTCTGTCGCCAAATTACTAAATATTCATGCTTGTACTGAGAATAATAGCAGATGCAATGCATTTTCCACGCTTGCCCTTATGTGAATTTTGGACAAAACTGTGTTTATTCCACTAAAATCGATAGCATCTAACACAACAAAGTCCCTTTTATCATGGCCACATTACGAAACCGTGTTAAGTTTCCAGAAAATGAAACAATAGTCAACAGAAATGTGGATATTTTAGTGCAATATTCATGACAAATGGAAAACGTGAAATGCACGTAGTCCATTTGGCAATGGTAAATCGGCATACAACATTTTCCAATCGCGTTGCCATCGAATTGAACGCTTATGAATGGGTATAAAATAGACGAAATCCATTCAATTTTATTTCAGTAGAGTCTTTTCTTTGGCAGCTATCGCATGTTGAAACAAAAATATTTTGGTAAGTGCATAGTTTAACACCTTCGATAAAATCAGGAGATTAAATACAATCAATTTAAAATGTTAAATTATAACAAGAAAAATATTATTGAGGATGATACCCATAAAGCAAAAGATAAACTCGGTTTTTTCTCGAAAAGAAAGTTTTAGGAAAATAAAAACAAATGAAATTGTAAGCGAAAGTACCCCTCTTTAGAATTGAGTGGAAACAAAAAAAACGCATTTTTATTGTCACCAATGTATTTTCGGCATAGTTGCAGAGCATTATAAGAACTTCGACAATGCTGAAAATACCTCTTCTCGATGAGAAAATGCGTTTTATTCCTCATTTCTACCCAATTTTGAGCTGTGTCACTTTTGCTTACAACTCTATTTGTTTCTTTTTTCCTCGAAGACTTTTCTACCTTTAGTTTTAGGAAAACTTCTTATAAGTTTAACTCTTACTTCATGGTGTCACCTAATAGAAACAAAATTGGACAAGTAAATGAAATAAAATATTGTATATAGATTTTATTTTTGTTAGAAGAATTTTTCAAGCAAGTTGTTAGAAATGGGAAAATGCATATCAATCGCGAACAAAATTCAAAATTTTCTGGACACTTGATACGAAGTCAATTTTTGTATCGATAAGAAGTGCTTTTGTGGAATTGATGTAAAGTTTGTTTCGATTTTTTTTTCTCTTAATTTTTCAACATTCAAAAACATCTGAAAAGTGCCAACCTCAATGGAAAAGTTCAAAGTACTTGACTACGATCAGACATTCATGTCTTTAATCGGGATCCATTCACCACATTTAAGTGAGCCATCCAACGAGTTCTTGAAATCGTTCGCATCCTATCATGTTTTGGGTTTCATGACGATTGGAACTGTGGGAAGTCTACGGTTCTTTTTTACGAATTTGTCCGACCTTAGGTTGGCATTTGGAGCGTTGAAAGTAGCCATTGCAGCAATGCAATGTTTTGGTATGTTCTACAGCATTGGGATAAAAATGAAGGAAATCAAAGCCTTTCATCTCAAATTACAAGAAATTGTTGATCAAAACGGCCGTTTTTACTGGACCATCGAGGAAAAGTGTCGAAAAAACACGAAAAAATTAGCATATTATGTATTGTTTCACAACGCAAGTTTATTATTTGGATTGGGTTTCGCGCTGTATTGCCTTGCTATCGGAAAACATGATCCGTCATCATGGTTGAAGTTCTTCGATATGAGCATCCCATTTGTTCACAATACAACTATATTCGATTGGTTTGTCATGTGGTTCATTCAGTTTAATATGTGTGTAGCATATGCATCGAGCTTGATTGCAATAATCGCATATTTCCTCAACTGTGCTTATTACACCTTCGCCTTATGCGATCACTTTAATATGTTGCTGCAGTCAATCAAGGAAGAGACGATTCCAACCAAACAAAATCTACTGCCAGCTGAGAAAATCCACCATCAAATCAAGGAACAACTAAGTGACGCTATAAAATTTCACATCGAAATATTAGAGTGAGTAAATGTTTCTCACATTGACTTACGTATTCTACATGTTTTATATCCATTGCATTAGAATTTTCAACATGCTGATCGATATCAATAGCGGATGTATATTTTCTCTTCTGCCGGCCAATGTTGTTTTTTTGTCAATTTGTCTGTTCGATTTTGAAGACGTAATTAATTCCATCATTGTTTTTTTCCTCATTTTAATATGTCATGTTATGTTCATTTCAGGCTATGAGTGATTTAACACTTGCGGTCTTTATATTCAATGTGTCTTGTGTGGTGGCTTCTTTGGTTTGGCCGTTTTTAATGAGTCTCTTCGCTAACAAAGCATCCAATCGAATTGAGTCTATTTCTGGCATCGCTTATGATTTGAACTGGCACAACTTTCCACCCGAATTACAAAAATACGTTATTTTAATCATCGTTCGTTGCCAAGAGCCTGTCTATTTTAATGGATTGAATTTGTTTCGCTGTACATTGGAAATATTTTGAAAAGTATATTATTTATCTTTTTTATCTTTTTTTAAGCTATTAAATTAATTGAAACTTTTAACAATTCATCTGTTCAATAAATTTCAGCTCTTCAAAACGTCCTGCTCATATTTTGTCATTTTCCGAACATTTGCCAATCGCTAATTAACTTTTCATATTTTACGATAAAACGCTCCAATTTTGCGTTGAAACTAAGTTTTAAAAAATTATGGAATTTTCAAAAGCGATTTTTGATTCAGTCAGTAGTAGATCAAATCAGTCTCGAATCAAAGGAAAAAATGTTCTTCTTTCTGGTTAGGGATACATGTTATTTAGTCTATGAATGTAAGACCATTTTTTAGTTTATTATTGTATATGACATTGTAATGGTGAAAAAAATCCATTGTTGAACCATCAGAGATTATCTTCAGGTAAAAAGTCAATTCATGGTGGTATTATCGTTTTAAGATGTGTAAATATGTATCTTTGTACACTATAGATTGACTATTTGTTTTTTTTTTCACCACGCATTTTTTTTTCTTCGCAAAATTACACTTGATTTGTATCAATACAGGAAATATTTGTTCTTAAAGCTAATTAGCTGTAGAATATCACTTGAGTAGTTTTTAACGACACATGAAAATATAAAGCTTCAAATAAAGTTATCCACCATCACAAAGGACAAATAACCCAAATTTATCGATGTCTATTTTATCTATTTTCAGATGAATTTTTCAACTATATTGATTTACATTTTTTTAAAGAATAAGCGGCAGCTTTCAACTATTCTCCACTTCCATTGGATTTAAACGGTCAAAGTGTATCTAATGTAATGGAAACTAAATGCAAGTGGAGACGATGTGTAAAAAATAGTGTAGAAAAACTTTTAAAATGGGGAAGGTTCTTTCAAAATCAAAGAATGACAACCATTTTCTGGGCTATTTTGCCTTATTTCAAATTGGCACGATTGTGACTTTTTTCAATAGATGGCGCTGTATGTGTCACATGTAAATACCATAGATAATCTATGGAAAACTTTGAACTTTCATTGATTTTGGGTTTTTTCAATAGACGGACTTATAAATTTCACGTACAAATATCATGAAAAGTTCAAATAGGGCAAAGCTGGTAGTCATTCTTTTAATTCAAAATAAATAACTATATAATGGAACGATTTTCATGATTTGTTGCATATTTTTAATCCGATTCAAATATCTCGATCCCTCCTCATCCTAATTCTTCAGCCGTAACAATTTCGTGCATCTCCGAAGTATTTTACACTTAACACTTGAGTTTGTATTCAATAAGTGCAAGTCAGACGGTGGGTTCAATGAAATAAAGTTAGATTAATAGTAATATTCGGAAATTGCATTCGATTTTCAAATATGTTTGGACATCATGATCAAGCAAACTGCAATTTGTTAGAGATGTCAACAAATACATAATCAGGATTGAAATATATTCTTTCGCATCTTACACATTTGATTTTTGTATCACTTATCTTTTGAGCCGACAGCCGTGGGGATAAAACGAAGCGGAATATCAAAATTAATCAAAAACAATGAATACGTTTGAAATCTGAATGTTTTCCATTCGAATTTAAATCATTTGGATAAACAGCTCATGGGTACATTTTTAGAACAATTTTTAGTACGAAACATGCGAATCCAAAGTAGAATAAACTTCATCGTATACTTATTCGCACATTGACGTCATTATGACATTTCATTCCGATAGACGGTAGGTAACACACACACACACACATCGAAATAAATTCTTGAAAAATTATTAATTCAATTGGAATATTTCAATAGAAACACTGCTCAACAACGCCACCAGCCATGGACAATTTGTGGAAGAAAGATTCAAACGAAGCTGGAGCTTTTTATGTTGACCTGTTTGCTTCCTATAGCGGAGACAAACAAACAGAAGGGCTGATCGATGAGTTTGCTAAAATAGTTGCAATGGCATGCAGCAAAGATGATGAAATTTCAACGATGTACCGTCAACGTGGAAACGATTGTTTTCGAGTAAAAAATTGGTCCGCAGCAATGGATTTGTATAACCGAAGTTTGTGTTTTGCTGAAGTGAAATCGGAAAATATTGCATTGGCATATTCCAACAGATCAGCTGCTTTTTTCCAAATGCAAAAATACGAAGAAGCACTAGTAGACATTGAGCTGTCCAAACAGGCAAATCTTCCCGAGCGCTTGATGCCTAAGCTCGAACAACGACAGCGTGAATGTCAAAAATTGATGGCTACAGTGCAAAAACCAAACAGACGAGAATTCAAACTCAGCTACGAAGCGAACCAAAACTTTCCGTGCATAGCCGATGTGGTGGAGATCAAATACAATCGAGAATTCGGTCGACATTTGGTTGCGAAGTGTGACATCCCAGTTGGACAAATCATTTTGATGGAAAGGGACTTCATTGGAACTCGAGCCAACGACGAGATTTTATGTCGTACGTGCTTCCGGAAAAACAGAAATTTCATCGCTTGCCCTCAATGCCCTGATGCCGTATTCTGTGACATCGAGTGCATGAACCGCAACATCCTGCATAAATGGGAATGTGGCTCATCTCAGGCCCACTTAAATCATGATGATAGATTCTACATACAATCGATTTTCATGGCCATCGAATGTTTTCCGGATATTGAAAGCCTCATGGAATTCGTTGAGAGTGCACTGCGTGAGGATCCTGAAACCATTCCGACAACAATCCATGACCTGAAGTCAAGCTATCATTTCTTCATCAAACTAAAAACACACACAAATAATGACGATGTGCCATTGCCCTACGACTATTACAAGTGCGTGACAAGTATTCCTGAAATAACGACCCTATTTGATTGCGAGAAGAAGAGGCGCTTTCTCATGCATTTGGTGACATACCATTTCTTTATCACGCAGACTAATGCGATCCATGATGTTCGAAGCAAGTCTGTGAATAACGTTTTTTCCATGACAAATCACTCTTGTGCACCGAACCTAACCAACTATTGTATTGGCGACCAGTGTATCTGTGAAACGATTCGATTTGTAAAAGAGGGTGAACAGCTCTATATCAACTATTTGGGCAATGGTACAGAAATAGCCGAAGAGAGGCGAATGGATTTGAAATCTAGATGGGATTTTAATTGCAAGTGTGAAAAATGCGAACCAACCGACAATATTAACAACACCCATTTGGTATTTGATCCACGCTTTCAATTTGCATTGGAAAATTTGCCTGACGAACGAAATTATCCAGCGATTTTGGAAAAATGTCGACAATTTTTGGACGAGCACGGGCATTTGGCATGGTCAAAGGAAATTGGATTGATGACCCACACTTTTGCATTTGTGGCTCAAGAACTTTATATTAAACCATTACAATAAGATCATCGTTGCAACAACACTGACGATTTGCATTAGCATTAGCATTTTCTTTAGCAAAATACTCTTAAGCAATAGAAATTACTACATTCATTGACATCAGCAGGATTTCACAAATATATTCATAGAATAATGAAAAGCAGTTTACGCTCTTCTGTGTTTGCTACAACAGTCATCTCGCTGACGTAAAGTTCATTTCATGTTCATTTTTAGCACAACATTGTACTAAATTGAGATCAAATAAAAAAGAGGAAACTTAACCTCCAAATTGATCGCAATATGTCATTATACTGTTCAAAGGCACAATCAGAAATGGATAATTTGTGGAAGAAGGAATCAAACGGAGCTAAAGCTCAGTATGTTGATCTGTTTGCTCATCTCGATGACGAACAAAAAGAAGATTTGATCGATGAGTTTACAAAATTGAGTACTACGTCTGCAGGTCACAAGGATAATCAATCTTCAAGAACGTTCCGTCAGCGTGGAGATGATTTTTTTCGAGATGAAAATTGGTCCGAAGCAATGGATTCATGCAATAAAAGCTTGCGTTTCGCAGACGAATCGGAAAATGTTTCAATTGTATACTTCAACAGATCGTCGTGTTTTTTCAATATGAAAATGTACGAGAAAGCATTGGTTGATGCTGAACGCGTGATGAGCTCAAATGCCCCGACCCATTTGATTCCAAAGCTCGACCAATGCAAACAACGGTGCCGAGAGCGGGTGGACAATATTAAACAGCCACCAGAATGGGTTCCAACATTGAGCTACGAAGCAAATGAAAATCATCCATGCCTAGCGAATGTCATCGATATCAAGTACAACCGTGAATTTGGTCGACATTTGGTTGCAACGGCTAATATTCCAATTGGAAGAACGGTGTTGGTCACTAAGAGCTTCGCCACTATAGTCACAGCCGAGAAGCAAGCGTACTGTCACACCTGTCAGAAGATTAAAATGAATTTTATTCCATGCAAAAATTGCTCCGACGTTATGTTCTGCGACGAAGACTGCGCCAACAAAGACAATTTGCACAAAATGGAGTGCCAGACATGCTATCATCAGATCGACGACACCCGACTGAAGCTCGTCGTTCAAACGATTTTGGTTGCAATTGATATGCTCCCCAACATCGAGAGTCTAATTACATTCGTCGATGAGGTGACAAGAGACAAAGGTTGTGACACGATTCCAAAGACATCTTGTGATGCGCCATCGAAATACGGAATTTTTCTCACATTGATCCCAACGTTCAAGGAAAAAAACATGATATGGCTTGCATATCAGGCATTCACTTGCATCAATCTGATGCCAAAAGTCAAGCAAATGTTCGATACAGAGGCAAAGCAACGTTTTCTCATGCATTTGGTGCTGCAGCACACAATCGTTATTCCGAAAAATGCATTCAACACTGAAGTTGAGGATCAATACACAACCTATGATATTTATGATGTCTTGTCAATTGCCAACCACTCGTGTTCTCCAAATTTGGATTGTTACAATAGTGGAAAAATTGACTACTGCGAAACTGTGCGGCCAATCGAAAAAGGCGATCAACTGTTCATTAGCTATTTGGGCGGTGAAGTTCTTGAATCAACCAGTCAACGGCGGAAATATCTCAAGAAGAATTGGGGATTCGATTGCAAGTGCGACAAATGCGAGCCCAATGTAAGCAAATCACACCGGACTACATGAAACGTATGCGGTCAAGCGTTCGAGAAGCAATGCATCAAGTTTTTTTTTGCAGAAAAACAAGAGTTCATAATCAATTGTTTTGCATCACTTTAAGATGCAGTGTTTGAGGTTTTTTTTTTGTATTTCTTCATTGTTTTATGTCCATCATTTTTTGTTGCATGAAAATTGTTGTAAAGAAACCATTCATACAAATCAGAAGCTCTTTTGGATAGTTTCTTTAGTATTTGTAATAAATCAATGAACATTTTCCATTATACAATTTGTAGCCAATTGCTGCACAAGACGACATAATAAAATATTCTGTATGTGTCTTCGTTAATTTTATGCATTATTTAGTTTATGTATCATTTAGCTTTTAAACCGCGAAAAAACAGATTAGAATATTGAATTCGAATCGTTTGAAATTGACTTGTTTTCCATTTGAACTAAAATCTCGTTGACATAAATTGATGGTCACATTTTTAGAACAAGTTTTTAGTACGAAACATGCGAATAAAAAGTAAATGATCTTAGTATATTTGTTCACACAGTGACGCCATTTTGCATTTTCATTCAAAGCGATAGCACGCATAAGAAGGTAAGTAGCACAGCACATACTTCGAAATAAATTTTTGAAGAAAAAAAAAACGTCAATTCAATCGAAATGTTTCAATAGAAATACTATTAAATGACACAATGGACAATTTGTGGAAGAAAGAATCAAACGGAGCTGGTGCACAGTATGTTGATCTTACTCCTTTTGTGCATGGAATGGAACAAATTGAAGATATTATTGACAAGGTTGGAAATATGAACACCATACTGTATCATAAGGATAATGCATTTTCAACAAAGTTACGTCAGCATGGAAACGAGTTATTCAAAGCAAAAAGTTGGTCCGAAGCAATGACTTGGTACAACAGAAGCTTATGCTATGCGGAAATCGGGTCAGAGAACGTGGCGTTGGCATATTCAAACCGGTCGGCTTGTTTTTTCAACATGGAATTGTACGAGAAAGCGTTGATTGACATCGACATGGCTAGAAGTGCGAATGTTCCAGAATACGTGTTATTGAAGCTTGAACAACGCCAACAGAAGTGCCGTGAATTGATGCAAACAGCCCAAAAACCCAAAGTGACGCATGAAGTTAAGCTGAGCTACGAGGCGAATAAAGACTTTCCGTGTTTGGCCGATGTGGTGGAGATCAAATACAACGAAGAATTCGGACGACATTTGGTTGCGAAGTGTGACATCCCAGTTGGACAATTTGTTCTACTGGAAAAGAACTTCACAACAACGAGATACAATCCGAAACAATACGCATGCAACACATGTTTTCAAGAAAATGTCAATTTCATCGCTTGTCCAAAGTGTCCACACGTTGTATTTTGTGATTCAGAGTGCCTGAACAATCATCAAACTCACAACTGGGAATGCGGTACATTTTTTGCACACATTGAATTTAGAACAAAATTCATATACCAAACAATATTATTGGCAATTGCAACATTCAATGACGTAGAAAGTTTAATGAGCTTTGTTGAGGGGATATTGCAAGAAAATCGAGAAACATTACCTAAATCATCACACGACTCCCAATCAAATTATCGCTTCTTTTTTAAGTTGCAAACTTGCGCACCGTTCAAACCATTATTCGAAGCGTTAAGAATGTATAAGGGAGTAATGCAAATGCCCAAGGTTGGTGCCCTTTTCAACCGTGAAGACAAGAGACGATTCTTCATGCATTTGATCACACATCATTCGCTCATCATCAATACGAACCAGATCGGAAACGATGAATCAAGATACTTGGCAAACGTTTTCTCTTTACTGAATCATTCATGTGCACCAAATCTATACCATCATATTGAAAGGAATATGCGTTCCTGTGTCACAGTACGACCAATTAAGAAAGGTGAGCAACTTTTCATAAGTTATCTTGGAATCCAAAAAGAAATGTCAACAGTTCAACGTCAGGAGTTTCTCAAGAAAAATTGGGGCTTCAATTGCAAGTGTGATAAGTGTGTGTCATTTGATTCCTGGAATTCAATTAATCCCTCTGTTGCAATGGATCCATCTTTTCAATTCGTATTGCAAAACTACGGTGTTGATGGAAAGTTTGCGGCGGTTTTGAAAAATTGCCGTAAGTTCTTGGAGAAGCATGGTCGTTCCACATCATGTTTTCGGGAATTACAATATGTGTCAAGCCAATACGGCTATATGCTTTCAGAACACAAGTTTTAATTTTTCCATTACATTTCATAAACTTGATTTTATATTTTAGACAAGTAAATATTCTCGTATAAATTTCAGTTTCTTTTCAGTTCATTCGTAATATTCAACTCAAACTCAGTTAAGCCAATCTCTTTCTGTTGACAAGACATTCTAACACGATGGTTGACATATTATGTAATTTCTTACCTTTTAAAATAATAAAAGAATAATTTAGAATGTTAAGTTTTTTTTTACAATGTATCTGTATAGCAGTTGCGATTAAAATAAAAGCTGTAAAAAAATTTAGAAAATAAATGAAAAGTCGTTACAGTCATATGTTAAAGGAAACATGAAAAATGCATAGAAAATAGAACAAATATACCATGAGAACATTAAATAGCTTTGATTTTTTTTTCATCCATGCCAATGTAATTCAATGTTTTTTGATCCAGTCACAACAGAAGAAATTCATGATATAATATCAAATCTGAAAAACAGCAATTCTGTTGGATTTGATGGATTGTCAACAAAATCGTTTAAAAATTGCATTGAACCACTCAGCAAAATTCTCTCATACTACATAAATAATATATTCGAATCGGGTAAATTTCCAGATAGATTGAAAATAGCCAAAATTATTCCTATTTACAAAAAATCGGGCTCTAAATTTGAAATAAAAAATTATAGACCAATCTCGTTGCTTGACATTGCTTCAAAAGTAGTTGAAGCAGCTTTATATAACCGTTTATACGGCTTTTTGGAGATTCAACATTTTTTTGATAACAAACAATTTGGTTTTACGAAAAATTCGAACACAACATCTGCATGTGTTTCTTTTGTTGATAAAATCCAAAGGGCCCTTAACGAAAAAAAAATAGTATGTACAATTTTTCTTGACGTTGCAAAAGCGTTTGATTGTGTAGACAGAAGAATCTTGCTGGAAAAACTTGAACGGCTGGGAATCAGGGGTAAATCCTTAAATATTTTTGATAGCTATATAAATAATAGGGAACAATTTGTTCAAATAAATAATATCAGCAGTAGTAAGAGGGTCACAAAATACGGCATTGCCCAGGGTTCCAAACTTGGCCCATTACTTTTCATAATTTTTATGA